AAAAAGAATCTCCTGTAATCTGGCAGAAAACAGGAAGGAATGTAGCTGTACGTTCTATATCAACATATAGCTGAGAGACGTGCTTTGACCAGGAACATAAAAAAAATTCATGGAGACAGAATCTATAATAAAGACAGATCTCCATTTTTTAGTTGAGATATAATTGACATATAGCATTATATTTGCGTCAAGTATACAACATAATGATTTGATATTTGTATATATTGTGAAATGATCACCACAATAAGTCACTGATTTTTAATTAAAAAATTCAATATAAACTTGTTTCACTTTGTTCTCTTAATTTTATTATGACAAACTAAAGAAAAGTACTTTGGGATTTAAATTTTCTGTAGTGTTATTTTAGATCCTAGAAAATAAAATATAATTTTTGAAATATCATAAAACATTTGAATGAAAGAAGTTAAAGAAAACAGAAGTAGCTAAGATTTGCTAAGAAAACAGTGCATTAGACAAAATGGTAATATTTAGTTAGAAGGTTAATGTAATTTTACCCACAGTGGTTTCCACTGAGATGAATATATATGCTTTATGGAATCCAGTGGTTGTTTCAATAGTAGACACTATATTCTAAGTAAATGGCATTTTATAAAAGAGAGCACATGTCCAATTTAATACATCATTTTTTATTATAGAGAGACACAGGAAGGCATTAATTTCATTCTACTTGCTTAAACAAAGCCAATAATGAAATCAAAATAAATTTTAATTTTAAAAGGGCGTACCTTTAATAAAGAAATTATTTTGGATCTTATTCAACTTTACCCTGTAGTAAATACACTCTTATCTTTCAGAAAACAGAGCATAAAGTTCAAAATGAACAATTATATTTATTGCTTGTTGGCCTTTTTCTGCCAAAAACAAAAAAATCAAATAATTCTTCTAAAGCTTACAAAGTTGAAAAAGAAACATATGGAAATATCTAATAAAAATAAAAAAATGAAATACTCAAGGCAGTACAAACTGACCAGTGTTCGTTTTAAAGTTTCTTGTTTACTTATACATACATTTCTTTATTTTCAATTTTATTTTAACTAAAACATTTTGAGCCAACTTGCAAAATATATTTTATTTTTATGACATGTTATTTCAAAGGAACTTAAGGAAGCTTTTGAAAAGTCATGAAATACAGTAAAATAAAATAAGCTTAAAGTTGCTAAAAATATACAGAAAATATAATAAAGACAAGAAACTAAAGTAAAATCTAAAAGATAAAAAATGACAGACAAAAGTTAAAAAGTCACTTTTGCACATTTGATAGACAGCTGGGGCAACACGGTATGCAGCCTTATTTTGCAGCGTCTTATACAAAGGCAAATGCCAACCTAAGCTTTCTAGGGCAAGGGTCAGTAGCCTTTTCTACAAAGGTTTACATTGCACCTGTATTAGACCTTGTGAGTCATAAAGACTCTGCAGCAACTCTATCATTTTATCTGAAAACAGTCATATGTAAAACGTAAATGACTGTGTAACAATGAAACTATTTATAAAAATAGGCAGTGGACCACATTTACCCACGGGCTGGAGTTTGTGCAATCCTCTTTTGGAAACTAAAGCAAAGATAGAAAGAGTCAATTACCTAATTTTAAGATTAAAGTCTACTCCAAAGAAGCATAGTGTTTTGTGTTTGTTTGTTTTGATGCTGAAGCTCAATAAGGGAAGCTTGGCAGTGGGCAATGTGTTACATCTCTACAATAATACAAATAGCTCGTTTCCTGCAGCAGCTGGTCACAGCCTCTTGCACATCTATAAAATGAGTGTGAAATTCAGCATAAGGTTAAGTTTTGGTCTTTTGTAGACAAAAACAAATGACCATACTGTTTATTTTTTTAATTGGATATTATAATAAAGGCATGTTATACTTTGGGGTCTTTTTTCTTCTTAAACTTATTTTGCTTTTTTGTTTGTCCTTATTATCCAATAGAAAAGTCACTTCTTCATCCCTAGCATGTGAAACAATACACTATCTTGCAATGCATTTTAAAAACTGAGAATTACATTAGTGTTCCAACATACATGTGCATTACTCTAAGAATGGTGAAGGGACTAGGAAATAAATTACAATCTGATTGGGAGACGGACATTTAAACAAAGAAAGTGTGGTGAATGTTGTCATATGAAAAGGCATAGTTCTGGCTTTGTACCCTGGTGGTGAGTTTCGGGTCCACTGTTTATCAACAATGTGATCTTTAGCATATGCCTTAATGTCTCTGAGCCTTGGTTTCTTCATCTCTAGAACGAAGACAACATCAATGCCTTTCTCACTGAGTTGAAAGGGTTGATAAGACAAGACTTAGTACAGAGGCACATACTTAATACTCATTATTTAACTCAGGTGGGACGTACCAGGTATATTCAAAAGTGAGGTAGAAGTTTCAACAATAGCTGATGATGATCCAGCTGCATGAGTTTAACCTCTCACATCCCTAGACAGATTTTGTTTTTTGGTTTTGGTTTTGGTTCTCTAAGGAGGATTTTTGTCGAGGTTTTATTTGGAAAGAGGTGTCTTGTGAATGCTTCCCCCCAACACACACACACACACACACACACACACACACACACACACACACCCCAAAGGGTCTTTAAAAAGAGTATTCAACTTAGAGAGCATAGTGGACGAGCGTCTCCGCTAAGCTTAAGTTCATGAGCAGGAAGCTGTGTAAAGTGGCCTCTTGCAGCAGAAGAGAGGGCCGGTGTGAAGACGCTAATGGCACCCCCACTTTGTAGGGACAATGGATTCATGAGCATTTCCCCTGGGACCGCTTTTGAAACACACAGGAGAGGAAGCTGCAGTGGGGTTCACTTAACCTTCCCAAGCAGTTCAGCTGAAGGGACTTCTGCAGCAGGTAGAGGCCGAGGATGACTTTTAAGAACCGAGGGGGTGTAGGAGAGAGCTCCTCAGGGATAGAGTGAGAGAGGTATCCTCCAATATTCCATGAATGAACACTAGAGTCAGCTTTCAACCAGAGAGAACTGCGATTACATCACTTGCACAGATTCAGCCAAGTAATGCCTTCTGTCCCACTTAACTCTCCTCCCTCCATTCTATTGCTACAGTGAAGGGGGCAGGAACCACCATAGAGAAGATATAGTGGAGAGGAGGAAAAGTGATGCAACCTAAGAGGAAACCCAGATTTGTGACATATTCATAAGATGGGGCATTTTAATTATGAAATTAAAACTGTGTTTTGTGATTTAGCAGATTGTTTCAACACCTATAAGTGGACAGAGAAGCAATAGGGCCTGAGTTCTTACTCAATGACAGGATGAAAACTAGTTCTGACAAAAAAATGAAAGGGGCAACAAAGCAGAACAAGAAAAATACTATTTCCAATTTCATTTGGTTGATTTATGATGGTAGTTCATAATTTATACTTGTTAAAGGTACATACATTTGTTATATCTACATATATATATCAATAAATTGAAATTACAACTAGAACTCTTTATAGCAAGTACTGAACACCTCTCCTGGGTCAGGCACTGTGCTAGGCCTTAGGCATCATGAGGGGAACAAACGATATTTCATAAACCTAATAAGAAAAATAGACATTTAAACATATATTTGGGAGGCAGACTATCACTCCCATTAGGATGTCTTCTTCTAATCTCCAGAACCTGGTACATGTGAGCTTGCATGGCAAAGGGGACTTTGGCCCTGGCTGGATTGGCTCCGTGGATAGAGCATTGGCCTGCAGACTGAAGGGTCCTGGGTTTGATTCCAGTCAAGGGTACGTGCCTGGGTTACTGGCTCAATCCCCAGTATTGGGCGTGCAGGAGACAGCCAATCAATGATTCTCTCTCATTAGTGATGTTTCTGTCTCTACCTTTTCCTTCCTTTCTGAAATCAATAAAAAATATATTAAATGGGGGGCTTTGCAGATGTGATTAAATTAAGGATATTAAGGTGGAGAGATTATCTTGGATTATTCAGGTGGCCCATTGTAATCATAAGGGTCCGTATGAGGGAAAGCGGGAGGCAGGAGGGACAGAGTCAGAAAAGGAGATGCGATGACAGAGTGCAGAGAGGGAGATTTGAAGAGCTGACACTGCTGTCCCTGAAGGTCGAAGAAGGGGTCATGAGCCAAGGACTGTAGTCAATCTTGTGAAAATAAAACCCTTAAGCAAATGAAATCTTTCCCAGGACTCCAGAACCAACACAGAATTGCTGACCCATTTTAGTCTTCTGACCTCCAAAACTATAATATCATAAATCTGTGTCTGTTTTAAGCCACAAAGGTTTTGGTAATTACAACAGTAAGAGGAAAGTAATATACAGGCAACAATAGTAAAGTATTGAATTATGATAAGGGAAATGCATAAATGTTAAAATCATATTTCAGTGGTATTTATTAAGCTAATCCAAGAATCCAAGAAGGGCTACTTGAGGAAGTAATGTATATCGTAAGACTAGAAGGGTGAACAAAATCAACCAGAAAAGAGGAGAGCTAAAGAATGTTCCAGAGAAGGGAAATGAGACATGAAGGCTTAGAGATGGGCAAGGGCAAGTTATATTTCAAGGAATTGTTAGAAGTTCAATATGTCTGGACAGTAGAATTTGAGATGGAGGATGCATGATAAGACTGAGGTCAGACCATGAAGGACCTAATCAGTTATGGCCTGTCCCAATGCTTGAACTTTATCATAAGAACAATATGCAAGTTCTCAAGGATTTTAAGCAGGTGAATGTCATAATCATATTCTCATGTGTGCACTGTGGAGAGTGTATTAGGGGAGAGAGACTGAAAAAGGAAAGGCCATTTAAGAGAATGTGGCAACCTTTGAGAAAGGAGGTGGCTTTTGTTTGGACCTGGGTAGTAGCTGTAGGAATAAAGAGTAGTACCCAGAAAGCAATTTGACAATAGAAGCTGAATGATATGGTGATTTACTAGATGTGAACGGTGTCCTAAGTAGGAAGGCAATAGCATTTCAGGGGTAGAAAACACAAGAAGAATTCTCTGAGATCTGCTACTGAGGTGGGTCAGTGATGAAAATAGCCAAATCTGCGCATCAGAAGACCTTCCAGTCCACCTGAAGCATAATCTCGCTAGTTCTGAGAAGCAAAAGTGTAAAGTAATTTAAAACAATAAGAGAGAGAGAGAGAGAGAGAGAGAGAGAGAGAGAGAGAGAGAGAGAGAGAGAGAGAATTTGTTTATAAAGATGACAGTGAAGAACTGAGGATTTGCTGATGGATAAATGAGATTGAGGGTATTGGTAAGGCTGATCATTTCTGAGCAATGATGAAAAGGTTTGACTATTGACCTTTGTAATTATGAAGGTTTCTACACTTGATCTGCGCTCAGGTTAAAAAAAAAAGAAGAAGAAGAAGAAAGAAAACACAAGAGGAGAATTAAGTGTAAAAGAGGTTTAAGAACATCAGTGCACTTCTCAACATATTAGGCTTAAGGTGTCTATGAAATATGCATGTGGAAATGTTCAGTAGCAGTTGGATAAATAGCACTGGAGCCTAGAAAAGAAGTCAGTGATGGAAAAGTCGATTTGTGAGTCATCAATTCACTAATGGTTTTTGAAGCTTTGGGAGTAGATGAGTTTACCCGGTTTCTGTATTAGCTCGATAACAGTGAGGTGGCTAAAAAAAAACTAGAACTGAGCCAAGAAGGTCATCCATATGTAAAGTGGAAGCATAGCAAAAGGAATACTCCAAGGGAAATAAGGAGAAGCCAGAGGAAAAGAGGCAAACCAGGAGAAAGTTGTGCCAAGCGAGGCAAGAGAGTAGAAGTTCGTGAAGAAAAGATTTCAACAGCGTCAAATGCTTCCAAGAAGTCAAGCAAGATCTCTGAAAAGCGGTCCTATTTGCAGTATGTGGGAACTGACAGCATGCGTGAGCAAGGTCAGGGGTATATAGCAAGAGAAAAATAACAGTGGATGAGTTCAGGAAATTGAGACAAAAAATATGGATAACACCTTCAAGAATTTTGACTGTGAAGGGGAGACAAGAGAGAATAGAATTTGCAGAGGTAATTTAGATCGAAGGAAAGTTCTTTACTTTTTTTTTTTCTCTTTTTCGTTGCTGGAAAGCCATCCATCATGGAATTCTGGTGTGACACATCCAGAAGTGAAGGAGAATTCAAGATGCAAGCAGTTGGAGGGCGGGGGGTTTGCTATGTGTCTAAGGGATCCAGAGGGGAAAGGTTCCAGAATTCAGATATATGGTAGATCAGTTATTAGATGGAAATTCAAGTCTTCCTCACCCAATAGGAAGAAGAGAAAGATGGAGGCAGCTTGTAGCCTGGACAGCAAAAAGTCCAAGAGTTTTCTCCAGTGATTTTAAGTAAGTTCCTGGACTTGGGGAAAAGATGGATGAGCTGAAAATTTGAGGAGACTTGGGAAGGTTTGACAGTATCTGTGAGAAGTGAAAATTAAGTGGTATAATGGAAAGCTAATGGGATTCACAGACACTATTGAGAGCCTGGGTAAGATTAGCCAACATGAGTGCGTTTGGGCACCAATCTGCCCTTTAGTGTGACATTCTTTAGCAGTGTTCAGCAGAATTTGGCAGCCTTGGTGCATGCATAGGGGGGAAAATGTTACTGTAGATAATTTTCTGCACAAAATGATCAAGAACAATAGGGCACGGGATGCTCAGATATTGGCAAGAAAATAGTTGAAGGTCTTCTAAAGGCCAGGTCTTCATATTTCTCCTTTGACAAATGTTGGGTCTCTTTTTATGTGATCCTGTTGTTCTTTTAGGATTGAAGATGCAGAATCTCAAAATGAAATGCCTTTTAAGACTCTACTATACATTAATGAGCTGAGTGCCATTTCATAAAGGTATAGGAAAATGGAAAAAATTAGCTAATTATGATATATGTGTGTAGCTTATGCGGTAGTATTGCAATTACCATTATATAATGCATTACATAGCTTGCCATTTAGAAATTAAGTGCAGTATGATACACAAGTGTATATGTATTTATCGAAAAAATATTTTAAATGTATCTATAATTTTGTCACAGATGTCAATGTACAGCTGTGTCTTTATCACCAATAGACATGAGAATGACGTGAAATACTGTTATTCTCATTCAGAAGCCTGTATAAATCTTTAAGTGGGTGCTCCCCCAGGATTTGATTTTATTCTTTAATTTCCATTTCTTGAGTTTTGTTCCATCTCTAGCTGCCCATTTTCATTAAAATTAAATTTAAAAATGAAATCTCTACGGCTAAGCTGCCTGGCTTGGAGCCCAAATGCGAATCCCCCATTCTCTTCTCTTCATCTCCTGATCACTTTAGCAAATTAAATAGAAATAGAAGGAAAAGCACCCTACAAATGAAAAGGAAGAGTGAACTCTCCAATTATGGCTATGACCACTAATTCTTTATGCTCTCCCAGAGAGAGGTTAATGGGTGAATATCATTGCGACTTATCCTCCTCCAAAAGTTAGGAAATATGCGGACAGGCTCAGGTGAGCCACCCCGCGGCGGAGTAAGTGTGGAGTTGTTCCTAAGAAGCAGCTGCCTAGGAGGGAGGAATGTGTATTTCCCAACTCCTTTGCTGCCGGGTGACACCACATTATTTGCACCAATGGAACATGAACAGAAGGGATGAGTGACACTTCCTATGGGAAATGATTAAGAATCAGGGATGCTTTTCCTGTGGTTTCCTTTCTGATCTATTAGCTGGAGAAGACTAAGATTCTTGACAAGATAATGCCACAAGATAGAAGGAGCCTGGGTTCAAGTAAAAGATGAACCTGTCTGGAACGCCTGCTGTGGATTTTCATGTAAGAAAAAAAATGACAAGCCACTGGGAATCATTAAGGATGCCCCCAAATCTCCTGAACCATACATTTCCTGATAATCTCTTGGTTATTCCTACAATTAGACTAATCAGATCTATGTTGGTTACAACCATTTCTAATGCTAAATTTATTTCTAAGTTCTGGATGCTTCTTTTTAAAAAATATATATATTTTATTGATTTCAGAGAGGAAAGGAGAAGGAGAGAGAGAAACATCAATGATGAAAGAGAATCACTGATTGGCTGCCTCCTGCACGCCCCCTACTGGGGGTTGAGGCGGCAACCCGGGCATGTGCCCTGATTAGGAATCAAACCATGACCTTCTGGTCCATAGGTTGATGCTCAACCATTGAGCCATGCCAGCCAGACAGTTCTTGATACTTCTTAATTAATACCTCTATGAAAATGTTTTCTTAATGGCAGACATAAATCTACTCACTTTAAAGCCATTTCAGGGCCTTTAACATAATAAAAGCATTTAGATAAATATAAATATTTCAAGATAGAGAATGGAAATCTTGGCAAAAAAAAATAAGAAAATTACTTTTCCTGCATTCTAAAATGGACTTGAAGGTATTTTTATTTGGAAATAAGTCTAAAAGCTTGAGAATATAACTATAATAGTTTGTCAAAACTAGTTTAAGACACATACATATCTGACAGAAAGATTGCTTTCCTCGGAGCCCTTTCAAAATGAAGTATTTGATTCTTACAATGCCTCAGGTAAAAGGGATACCTATTTCTCAAGCAAATGCACAAGAACTGTGAATAAATATTGTCCAGTTCAGATACAGAAGTCTAAGGCTGGAATCGCATCCCTCATCGTGTGTAGGGAAGTTGTTTTAGAATTTCTTTTAGTAAAAATGGCCAAGTTACAATGTCTATGGTGGGAGCTAATCCTGAAGCCACTACTCAAGGAAGCTGAAGCAGTAGACAAGGGGTAGGCACGGGCCAGGGAACTGAGCTTCTGCTTGTGCAAGAAGGAAATGTCCACATTTTAGAGGGTCTGAATGAAGCAGGTCATCATCCTTGTTTAAATAAATTAGTTGTTTTCAAACTATGCCCAAGCAGTATCCCCAGGACTGCAGTGTAACTTCTTATCTTTACAGCAGGCTCTTGAGGCAGGTCCAGGGTTATCCATGGATTCAGAGCCACCACTAACCTGCTCAGCACCTTTATATGAAACAAACAAAAAGTAGGTTTCTTTTTAGGATAAATGCAGCGCTAAGAGTACTGTCTTGCTTGGAGCGTTGGGCTAGAAAAGCACAATCATACTGAGAGGTTCTACGTTGAGAAGCAACCTTCACCGTGACTCCGGGTCGGTTTCTTAGTCAAATCAATCGGTCTCCAGATCCAGACTACTAATGTGTGCCATGTTGGCAGCCCACAGAATTACTTCTGAGAACATTAACTTGCAGTGGCCCGCCTTTTGCCTTCACTGGCCTCTCCCTCACCAGCTGTATTCCAGGGTTACTGCTCCTAATTGATGGCATGTCTGCATGATGTGCTTCATTGTATTGAGATCCAATTCTGGTACAAAGGAGACAATCTGTGATGGGAACAGGCCATTTTAATTTTTAAAAACAGCACTCTCTCGTTACTAGATATTAACATTTAAAAAATGATAAGGTCTGCTGCGGCCAGGTGGCTCAGTTGGTTGCAGCATTGTCCTGTACCCCAAAAGGTTGTGGGTTTGATTCCCTATCAGGGTACATACTGAGGTTATGGGTTCAATCCCAGGTCAGGACATGTAGGGGAGGCAACCCATCGATGTTTCTCTCTCACATCAATTTCTCTCTCTCTCTCTCTCTCTCTCTCTCTCTCTCTCTCTCTCTCTCTCTCTCTCTCTCCCCTTCCCTTTCTCTCTCTAAAAATTAATAAGAAACATATCTTTGGGTGAGGATTAAAAGCTAATAAAAATAAATAAAAAGTCAATCATTATCCAGTCCTAAATTCAAAAGAGAGAAAGGCCCCTTGGCATGCCTTCGAGTAGGCATGTATACTAAGGCAATAATCATCTCAGACTGTATAATAACTGACATCGTTTCTGTGTTTCTTGATCCCATTATTTGATTGTGAATATCACCTGTTGCATTTCTGTATTCATCAGACTCTACTCAACAGAGGAGATTTTAAAAAAGAAATCTATGCAATCTCCTATGGCAAACAAGTGCACATAAACACAAAAGACAGAAAATTAGATAAGTTTGTTTTTTCAACAGTAAAAAATTACATGCATTCAAATATAGTGAATTTGATTATTTTACCTAATAAAAATATTTTCTGCTGGCAAGAAG